TTTGGTGTTTTTTTTTTTTGCGTTAACGCTTAAATGGTGTAAACGCCATTTGGGGATCCGAAATTACGCTATTATTTTTTGGTGTTTTTTTAGGTGTTATTTAGGGTGTTTTTTTCGTAAGAGATTTCTTCATTTTTAATGCACTTTTCCAGGTTTTGAAACATCAATTTTCTCTAAATTGCCAAATAAATGTTTGATATGTATGAACCACTGTTTGACATGTATGAAACACTGTTTGGAGTTGGGAAAGCAATAAAATCAAACATTTAAATTTTTTGAGCCTTACTTTAACAATCGCGAACTAAACAATTAATTATGCTCGTAGATTTATAACGCGGAGAAAAAAATTCAACATCCATATTAATAAAAATACACGCCAAGCCTGTACAATGCCACGAAATCTGTTACCTTAGAGTACTTTCACTTTCAACTACCAGATGTCATGGCGACCAAATGTCAGATCCCAATTCTCTTTTGTTTTTAATATTTCCTTCTTTTCTCTTTTTTTCTTTCATAGTTTTTTTGATTGAAATCAAGTGCTAGTGGGACAATTCGATCGGTTCAATAACGAGCAAAAACATTCAACTTAATATCATCATAAAAACAAGGCAAAGTATGATCACGTAAAACCAGAGAAAAATTAAGATCCTCATATTATGAGACTGAGAATCAAATCTGTTAACGATGATGAAACGAGAAATCAGATATTCTTCTGTGTGTACTGAATAATCCGTTTAAGTAATATGTTCTTTACCTCTTTATTAGTTCTTTTGAATACGTTTTAGAAAAATGTACCACCTTGGAAAATATAATTACAAACAAAAAATATATATAAATATTTTGATAGTTGTTATGCAATCAAATAACAATTACAACAGTATTTTAATGTTTTGAAATTATTTTATAAGATAATAAATAAATACATAAAATTCGCTAAAACTGCATATTAAAGACGACCTTTTTTTTAAATTAGTTTATATATTTAAAAATAAGGTAATTATTTACAATAAGGCTTTTTCCGAATTTTGATATTTTTACCCTACCTATTTTTAAATCTATTTTTTTTAAGTATTGTTCAATTTTTTACGCAACCGTTTAATTTCTTTTGGCATTTATGTACAAAAGGGGCACCCTCTCCGATTTCATTTATTTTTAAATATGTTGTTGGAGGAGTCTTCCCGCATCATTATATATATATATATATAAGAGTCGGACTCAAATAGCTTCGGAGAGATATGCATACACACACACACACACATACACACACGCTCGCGCGTTGGGGTGCAAGGAGGGCCTTTGGCCCCCCTTCCCGCACCCACCTCCGCCGGTAGGCAGTGTGAACCTCGCTTTACAACTTAAAGTACATGCTAAAGGCTGCAGTCTGATTCACGTTCACAGCGTTGTAAAGAGCGATGCTTTCAGGGAGGGAGGCTGAAGGCATCCCCTCCCGCGCGCGCGCGCGCGCGCGTGTGTGTGTGTGTGTGTGTGTGTGTGTGTTCCGGCATGTCGGAAAAAATAGGTATAAAAATAGATTTAAAAAATTGGTAAAAAAATTGGTAGGGTACATATTTTTCGGGCTCCCCCGGTTGATTTATCACTGTCGGAGTCACAACAAAGGTTTTTACCAAGAGAGCCGCAAGAAAATATCAAAATCCGAAAAAGGTCTTATTGTAAATAATTACCAAAAATAATACTTCTTTGTTCACAAATCAGGGGATATGATCATTATCATTTTTGTTTTAAGTTATTCCCCATTAAAGTCACTTTAAATTATTTATGGTGTTTATACAATCCCATCTTCCCGGTAAAAAATTTTTCATAAATAATCATATAACTTTATAAAATTATATAGAAATTATATATAATTTTATATAATATTGGCTGTACTGTTATATATAATTGTATATAGCAAATAAGTATTTTCTTTTATATACAAATTATATATATAAATAAATTTAATATTTCATGTACAATTTGACATGATTATATATGAGTTGTTATAATTTATATATAAATTTGTATGTAGTAAACCCTCGTTAACACGAACTCAAAGGGACCGGGATTTGAGTTCGTGTTAACCGGGTGTTCGGGTTAACGAGAAAATCTTGCTCCTGGTTAACACAAATTCGTTTGTATTAATGAGGTCAACTAAAAAAAATTTAGTAGATAGTATTGGATATGATATATTCTTTATTATTTATACAGCAACTTAAATAAAATATAACTTGTACAAACTTAATCTCCACAACCAACCACTTAAACAATTAAAATTGTTGACACTTAAATTATCTGCTATAGATATCGCTTTTTCCTGAATTAGCGGTCCACTCCATTAGAATATTTGAAACTCACATATGATTAACCAATTTAATAATTCAGTTTTGACATCTTCATGTTGTGCTCTGCGAATGCGTTTAACTTTCGGAGTAACAGTTCCTGATGCAATTGTCTTATATATTAATTCCTTATTTTTTATTATCGTTGAGAGCGTTAATTCAGGAATATTAAAATATTTAGCGATCTCAGTTTTTTATTTTAATCCACGATCAACTTCTTGTAATATTTTAACTTTCCTTTTCAAATCAATACACGTTTGCTTTTGTTTGCTCATCGTGGAAAACAAACAAAGCGCTTTTATTTTGATAAATGTGTGTAAAACATCATAATATATGCATGTATATCACAATATAACATTGTTTACATATTACTCAATATTCATACGTGATTCGCGAAAAGGGTGTTGTAATGGCAGTAATTACCGACATTTTTTTGAACACAATAACTTTGAATTGGCTTCACGGAATTAAAAATACTTTTTTACAGAATTAACAGATTTGAATCAAAAACGAAAAAAATTAGAAAAATTATAGTTTTGTTATCGATTTCTGCGGTCGACTCGTGACAACATTTGCTGCACATAAAAATTTAGACTTTGTACTTATAAAATAAGCATACAGCGCACTTGGGATTACAAAAAAGAATAATGTTGTGCTTTCAAAAATGAGCCTAAAAGCTTTAGTATAAGAAAAAAATTTGTCTGAAAATCTCATATGTATGTATGCGTGCGGAGGGAGTAGTATTGTGTGTAGCGAGAGATGGCGCAGCAATCGAACAAGGACAGATGTTATTTCGTTAGACAAAGACAGATATAGAGAAAACAAAATTAGAAATGTTAACATTATCGACATCGAGAAAGTTCGGCCGTCACTCCAGCATCCCCTTAAGTAGTTCGAAGTTCGTGTTAATCGGGGGATAGGTCTATGAGAACCTGTACAACTTTGCCGGGATCCAAATTTTAGTTCGGGTTAACCGAGCTAGTGTTCGTGTTAACCGGGTTCGTGTTAACGAGGGTTTACTGTAATTATATATAAAAAGCATTTATCCTCATAGATTATAATAAATTCAATCTAAGTCATAGTAGTTAATAATTTCTTTTTAAGAATATAAAAACAAAATTATTATATCACAAAATTGCATTACCTAACTCAACCCAAGTGATAGATATGTATTTAAAAAAATATATAAAATCTTTAAATTGCGAAAATTGCGCTGCTTTTTTACTCTCATCGTATTCTTCCCCAAATTAAGTTTATTGCTTTTTTATTCAATCAAAAATTTTAGTACTTTATTAAATTTTGAGGTCTAACAACGTTAAGTTATTTTACAAGAAAAATTTATTTATTTTATTTTAATTAAATATTTTCATTTTGTACTGTTACCTCTTTAATTCTTTGTGATTAAAATAATTTTTTGTAATATTATAATTTTATTAAAAAGAATTGAAGTTATTACCACTTAGTTGGAATAGAAAGATCCTTGAATGAAAATACAAAGATATATGGGTACCATTTAGATTTTAATTTTTTAAAGTAGTTGTACAGACGGCGTCATTAATGCCTTCCACCTGAAGCATAGTACATGTAACGTGCACTATAGAAATCCCCAGAACACAGCTAGGAAAGCATTAATGACGCCGTCTGTACAACAATTATTTTTCAAAGCAATATATATATTTTTTTTGTAATTGGCATTCAAAGATTTTATATATTTTTTTTTAATACACTAGACACTACAGACGCGCGCTTCGCGCGCGCTACATTATGCTATTACTATTACACTATTAACCATTGATACACACAACTGTCAAAATATACAATGACAGCTGCAAATGAAGTAAGCGCAGCAAGAGAACAATCGGCATCGCGGAAAAGTGACAACAATACCTACGACATGCCATTTTAGAAGAGGATACTACTAGGGTTGAGTTAGGTAACGCAATTTTGTGATAAAATTTTCTTAAGGAAAAGTAAAGTTACTATTTAGGTTGGATTTTTGGATTTACAACATTTATTGCATGTGTACTTGGCACTTTTTTTTGAAAAAGATAATTTTGTACTAATATCATACATTTTGTAGTGATAAGCAGGGATTGGTAAAAAGTTTCCATTTTTAATTTTTTTAATTATTCACAAAATTAGCAATAATAACAAATTAAATTTTTATTAAATTAGCAAATTAGTAATTAGTCACAAAAATGACTAATTATGTAAAAATTAATATTTAAAAAAATGAATTATCTATTACTTAAAAAATTGGCAATTTGTTAGAGAAAAATTTCTAGTTACGTGAAAATTAGTATTTAGGCAAAAATAAATTGATTTTTTTTAAATTAGTGATTAGTAAAAATAAATTCTGTAACGTAACGGGACCCATAACACATTCAAACGACGCGGTCTTAAGGCAGCGTTAACCGGCACGACGGCGGCGCTACTAGTAATGAGAAGAGGACCCATAGGATGGCGCGAGGTCGGTAGTGTCGGTACATGAGAGGATCGAGACAAGAGCGCGAGTCAGTATGCATCGAAAAGTAAAACAAAATTTTAGTACTTTATTAAATAGAATAGTACTTTATTAAATATATAATTTATTAAATAAATAATAGTACTTTATTAAATATATAATTAAATATAGAAGTTATTTTCTAAATTTTAAAACCAGAGTTAGTGTTTTCGATCTTTCCGTCCATACATCCGAACTTTCGTTTCGAGCGTCTGAAACCTGAGCGTCCCACTACACGTAAACTCGCTTGTCACACGTCGGCCCGATCGACGTACGCGACATTACAATTGGCGCCCAACTAAGAGGCCAAGTTCTGACGAAAGCTGTCGCCTCAAGCAAAGACGTCGTCTTCACGTGAGCCAGAACGACCGGTGACACGATCGCAGACACGACAGATGTTGATATCACGCAAAGTTACAAGAACAGACGATGAGACTCAGAAGCAAAAACAGGAAACCAAGATGGCGGAAGATCAACGTACACGTAACGCCGTTACATTAACGAACGAACACTTCACGATGGTTCTACAACAGATACAGATATCTGCCGCAAACGTCCCCGCAACAAACATCGCGCAACCGCAAGACAATTTCTCGCAATGTACCTCGCGTTTTAATGGGAAAAAAAACGTCTGACGTGAAAGCTTTCATCGACGCGATCGTTACGTACAAAGATTGCACAAAAATATCCGACAAAAACGCACTAAAAGAATTGCCGATCCTCCTCACGGATCTCGCCGCGACGTTGTGGCAAGGCGTTAAATACACGATTAATGCGTGAGACAGCGCGTTAGATCTACTAAAACAAACGTACGGACCTAAAAAACCGGCATATCGTATATACAAGGAACTTTTTTCTCGCGAACAAAAAGAGAACACATCGACGGACATATTCATATGTAAAGCGCGTACATTACTCTCGAAACGTCCATATGACACTCCGTTAGCGGAAAGCATTCAATTAGATATGGTTTACGGATTATTATCATACAAGATTCGGGAGGAAATACCACGCGATAAGGTCACTTCGTTCTCAGAGTCAGTAGATCTCGCGAGGGAAGTCGAAGAAACCAGGGCGAAAGAAGACAATAAAACGTCGCGCAAACACGAGAACCGCCCGCGTTGTAAATATTGTAAAAATTTTGGACATACGGTAGACAAATGCAGAAGCCTTAAAAAGAAACCTGAGGATAGTTTGATCGCGTCGAGTAAGAAGAACAAAACGGACGCTGACGCGGACGACACACAAGCAAATCAACGTCCCCAACCCGCGATAACTTGTTTTAGTTGCGAAAATCTCGGTTACCTCCGTAAGGACTGTCCGAAATGCGCCAAGACGGATAAAAACAAGAAAAGCGTGGTGAAACCCGAATTCTGCCTGATGGACGCGTCTGAAGTACTTACGAAGTATAAGAGCCGACCGGTTCTCGACGTAGAAATTCTAGGAGCGAAAGGTACGGGCTTAATCAACACCGCTGCAAAGATGAGCGTCGCTGGACATAGCCTCTACAAAATCCTTGTCGAAAAGGGACAAAAATTCAAGAAGACAAATTTACACATCAGGTTAGCAGATGGAAAACGTATTGATAACCAAAGTCGACGTCCACGTAGAGAACCGTAAGATAAGTACCACATTTCTTGTAATGCCATATGCAGAGAATAATTATGTTATTGGGCATGGATTTTATTGAGAAAACAAAGATCATAATAAACGTGCCGCAACGCGTATAGTATACTTTGCAGACGAATACGAACCCCACGAGTTGAGTTTCGAAAGCACTAACGAAATACTTAACACTTTGCAGTTGAATTACGCCGACACGTTAAGAGACGATGAAGGCGAAGCTCTTTCGCCGGACCAATATAAAAGGCTCGATGAGATTTTGGCTAAATACAAAGATATCTTTGCACTAGGGGGTAAGCAAATGCCATATGCTAAACACGCCATAAATACAGGTGACCATGCGCCGATAGCCACGCCACCGTATAAGATGTTGTGCCCCAAAAAGGAAATTTTGAAGAAGGAAATAGAGGTCATGCTCAAGGCCGACATCATCGAAGAATGCGAGTCTCCACGGGCAGCCCTGGTAGTACTCGTACCCAAAAATGATGGTACGACGCGAGTCTGAATTGATTATCGCCAAGAGAACGTTGTCACAGAGACAAATCCTTACCCGATGCCCTTGATCGAATAACTACTACACAGTGCAAAGAGAACGCTTTACATGTCAACCATCGACCTCCATTCGGGATACTGACAAGTAGACGTGAAACCGGCGGATCGAGACAAAACCGCGTTCACAACACCGTTCGGTACGTTCCGCTTCAAACGCATGCCGTTCGGCCTTAAAAATTCTGGTGCTACTTTTCAGCAAATAATGGATCAATTCCGAAGAGGTTTGAAGAACATCACAGTATAATACTGATATACTTAGACGACATAATCGTAATTTCGACGAATTTCAAGGAACATCTGAAGGACTTACAAAAAGTTTTCGATCGTCTATGCGAATTTAAATTACGAGCTAAGCGAGAGAAGTGCAGGTTTGCATGCTCACAGATAAAATTTCTAGGACACATAATCACCGCCGATGGCATCAGTCCAGACGACGACAAAGTAGCGGCCATTCTGAATCTCGCTCCACCAAGAAACGTGAAACACCTACTTAGGTTCATACAAACCGCTTCATGGTTCCGTAGGTTCATTCCAAATTTCGCGGCAATCCAAGCCACTGACATCGCTAACCAAGAAAAACGCTGTATGGATATGGTCCAAAGAACAGGAAGACGCCTTCATAGAGTTGAAGAAAGTGCTCACAAATGCTCTCATACTCAGAAAAGCGGACGATAACTTGCCATTCATCATACGGACAAACGCCAGCACCTACGCAATAGGGGCAATTCTTGCACAAAGAGAAGGACCCGATAAAAATCTCGTAGAATACACCAGCCGCTTATTGACCCCAGCAGAACATAACTACAGTACGACAGAACGCGAAGCCCTTGCAATCGTTTGGGCCGTCTTGAAGTTCAGAGGCTATCTCGACGGTGCTCAAATTATAATAGGTACGGACCACCAACCGCTGAAATGGCTTATAAGTCTGAAGTCTCCTTCGGAGCGGTTAGCTCGATAAGCACTGAGTCTCCAGGAATACGATCTCAAGATCACATACTCCCCGGAAAAAGTAAACGTCGTTGCTGATACGCTTTCCAGGCCACCGTGTACAGATTATAATGAGAAGGATTGCGGAATATGTACAGTTATTGACCTACCTTCAAATAAACCAGCAAAACTAAAGAAAAAGCAACTGTCGGATCCGGAAGTTAAGAAGAACCTTTGAATCAAAAAATGACGTCGACATCGCGAATTGGACATCCCGTGTCAAATGACGTCCTGTATCGTTACACGTCTGTCAAAGATACTGAAGAGGCCCAATGAGTAGTACCGAAATGCGCTATTGGACGCATCTTGTATGAAAATCACGACGCACCTATGGCAGGACACTACGGAGTAGATAAGACATTAAGACGTATTTTCGACAAGTATTACTGGCCAGGAATGCGTAGAGACCGTTAACGAGCATGTCAGAAGGTGCGCCAAATACGAACAATACAAGCCGTCCAATTTGAAACCCGCTGGATTATTGAGGACACCCGCGGCGACTAGAAGATTTGAGGTACTGGGTACAGATTTATCCGGACTTTTACCTATCACTGTCGAGGGGTACCAGTGGATATTCATCGTTGAAGATGTTGCAACAAGATGGATTGAAATATTTCCACTGAGACGCGCTACGGCGGAAGCTTGTGCCAAGACTCTGATCGACGAAGTTATACTCAGGTATGGGATTCCCCGTCGGGTTATTTCTGACAACGGGCCTCAATTCGTCGGAGCAGTGATGTAGCAAGTGTCTTATTGTTTGGGGTTCAACCAATCGTTAACTGCAGTCTATCACCCGGAAGCAAATTCTGTGGAACGGAAGAACAGAGACATAAAGGTTCAGCTCTCCATCCTCGTAGAAAACGCACATACTAAATGGGCCAGCAAATTACCTTCAATCAGATACGCCATGAACTCCAGCACATCTCAAGCAACCGGACATACCCCGGCTTACCTTACATTCGCGCGCGAAATGCGTTGTCCGGGAGACGTACAGCGAGATTTACGTGAGATCGTAATCGGAGAATGTGTCGGAAATTACGCCCTACTTACAAAAAGGTGCCGATACTATGAAGGAAGTTACTGAAACGCACAAACGAGAACAAGACAGACATAAGACGTACGCAGACGAAGCCAGGAGACCGTCTATTAAGTTTCATGAAGGGGACCGGGTTATGGTCAAAACGCAAGTATTAAGCAGTGCATCTCGAAAAGTTACTTCCAAATTCGCGCCAAAGAGAGATGGGCCTTATAAAATTGCCAAATGCATATCACCCACTAGCTACCAATTAGCAGATAACAATACCGATAGCCTCCTCTCAGTCTATCACGCCTCTGATCTAGAACCTTGGAGGGGAGCCGAGTCAGGAGATTCCATTTGCGGGCCGATTAGGGCTATCAGGAAACACGGACGACCGAGGAAGGACACGATGAATTTACCTCAAGATGTTGAATTTTTAACGAGGGCGCCTGACAGATCTAAAGGGGGAGTCTGTAACGTAACGGGACCCATAACACGTTCGAAGGGCGCGGTCTTAGGGCAGCGTTAACCGGCACGACGGCGGCGCTACTAGTAATGAGAAGAGGGATGGCCCGTAGGATGGCGTGAGGTTGGTACAAAAGAGGATCGAGACAAGAGCGCGAGTCAGTACGCGTCGAAAAATAAAACGAAATATAGAGGTTATTTTCTAAATCTTAAAAACCAGAGTCAGTGTTTTCAATCTTCCCGTCCATATATTCGAACTTCGTTTCGAGCGTCTGAAACCTGAGCATCCCACTATCGATTTCAATGACCTTGACATACGTTGTCAAGGACGTGATTCTGAGTAACTTTTCCTTATAACTTAATCAGCGGTCATTGCTTATTTAAAAGTTATGAACAAACGTAACTAAAAAATATAACAGTTTACGTCAGTGCTAAGAGAAGTAATTTACTGATATGTGTGTATAGACAGTACACATGTACTGGGGCTACCGCCCCTCCCACGCAGACAGGGGTGAATCTCGGTTTGCGTGGAAAGTTAAAAATCGTATAATGATAGACTTTGTTTTGCCATATAAGCAAGCCGAGGTGAGGTGAGGTGAACTTCGCTTGAATAATCCAAGGTCTAATCCAACCCAATTGTTGTACGAATGAAAAACTTTCCACGCAAATCGAGGTTCAACCTTACTCACCTCTGCCTACGGGGGAGAGGCGGTAGCCCCATGTGTGTACTGTCTATACACACATATCAGTAAATTACTTTCCTTAGCACTGACATGAACTTGGAAATTTCTCAAACTTTTTTTGTTCATAACTTTTAAATAAGCAATGACCGCCGATTAAGTTATAAGGAAAAGTTACTCAGGATTACGTTCTTGATAACATATGTCAAAGTCATTGAAATCGGTGAGATTGCCCTCTTTCTGTATAATTACTATGAACAATTAATCTCAGGTAAATTACTCATTTTTAAAATTATTAATTGGTTTAATATAAATAATTTAATTATTGCAACGTAGTTTAAAATGTAGTTTAAAAAAATTATTATGTTTATGTTATACAGTGTGATTCGGAACAACCTATTGTCCCGAAAATGTCGAATCTCTGACTCAATTCTGAGACAATTTTTTGACGTAGAACTACGTCTTTGTCTACAGTAAGGGGAGGTATAAGGGGGGTATAAGGGAGGGTAAATCCAGACACAGCCTGCAACGAAAACATGTCACACTTTGAACTTTGAACGTTTATATCTTTGAAACTAATAATCGCAGAATAATAATTAAGGGGGGAAACTCGTCTTTTTGACCCCTTTTTTTGATAATTTTTTATAAAGAACTGAGAGTATTTATTGAATTCTAATAAAATACATGATAATGTTGACGATCAAATGTACAAGAAAAAA